CCCTGGTGCACATGGGAGCTTTGTCACCTTTCAAGGGGATCAGAGTTCAAGTCTCTTCCTGAAGTCGAAAGCTCAGTGATAATGAAAAGCACCTTGGATAGGGTGGAGCAAGTGTTGCCGGCATGAGCAAAGGTGCTAGCACGGGGGCACTTCTGGGACACTCAGTCCTTCCAGGTGACATGTGACTGCAGAGTTAGGGTTGCACCCAGCATGGGTGGGGGTTAGAAGTGGGGAAGGGTCTGGTGTAGGAATGGAGGGATTTTTGCATGACTTTCAGTGGGACAGTGATGTGACTGCAGCCAGAGCGTCAGGCTTGACTATGGCACATTTGGCGACTGGCCTGCCCTGGAACCCCCAGCTTGCGCCAGCAGAGGGCCTGCTTGGATGACACACCACAAGCCAAGTAAAGGTGCCAATGCCTGGTTTCTGGGGATGTCATACCCTCCTTGTCCCCATTCCCCTGTTGTTTTTTTTTGATACCAGCTGAGGTTTCATTATAGTTTATGATTATTATTATTATTATTATTATTTGAGACAAGAGTCTCAAGCTGTTGCCCTGGGTAGCGTGCCTTGGAGTCACAGCTCATAGCAACCTCCAACTCTTGGGCATAAGCAATTCTCTTGCCTCAGCCTCCTAAGTAGCTGGGTTTATAGGCACCTGCCACAATGCCCGACTATTTTTTGTTGTAGTTGTCACTGTCGTTTGGCAGGCCTGGGCTGGATTTGAACCCACCAGCTCTGGTTATGTGGCTGGCGCCTTAGCCTCTTGAGCTACAGATGCCAAGCCTCATTGTAGTTTTTTAAATTGCACAGTTGTTTAGAGACCTAGCCTCCACCTCCCCTTAACTAAGTCTCTGGAAATGACAGGAAAAGTGGGCCCCTCCTTTGACTGCCTGAGGAGGCTGTGTGTCTGGGGGTTTGAAGCTGGAACACTAGCACTTACCCTGCACCCAGAGCAGCCTGGTCTATAGTCAGGTGTGAGGCCTGTTCTTACACTGGAGCACCCTTTGGGGCCTCAGTGGAAAAGTAGAGCTGGTGCTTTCCTTAATCCAGGTGGAGATGGTCCCCAACATGGGTGCTGAGGCGGGACTGAATCCCTGCTTCTTCCTCTACCCAGTCCAGCCTACTGAAGATCTCTACCCTCATCACAGCAGCCTCTCTAGGTCTCAGGAGGAAATAGAATCATGTTCTTGCCCAGTCTCACCCCAGGTGAGTGGAGATCTTTGCTGTCAGTGCCCTAGTCTCCTCTGACATAAAATAGGTCCACAAATTGCACCTGCCTCCACACATGGAAGCTCTATGATATTGGCAGGTGCTTCACGGTGACACCACCAGCCACCCTGCCATAAAGCACCCTGCTTACCTATCATCTGCATGGACAAGCCAAGAGCCCATGGACCAGACCCTGAATGAATAACTTGCGCCTGCTCAGCTGGGCCCAGTTACTGCTTCTAACATTTTGCTTATAGTGAGGCCATGTTGCTTGCTCGCCAGGCCCTTGAGGGCAGGTGGAAATGACCTTTGTACACAGAGCCCTCAACCCTCAGTGACACTGGAGGTGTCCCCTTAAAGCACCGTAGTCACCTACAGGGTCTCCTGCAGCACTTGGGGTGAATTGCTGGGCCCAGACCTCATTCATTATCATACCAGCACTCACCGTGACTGGGTGCCAGGGGCCAGTATCCCACACATCCTGTGAGGCCTCCTGCTGCTAGGGACTGTCTTCATAGCCACATAAGGACGGTGCATGCTGGAGAAGTTAGGGATGCATCCAAGTGTCCAGTTATAAATTGTGAAGCTGAGACACCAGCTCAGGCCTAGCCCCTAGGGCCAGAACTGATAGCCCTTGCCTAGTGGCCTTCCTTGAGACCTGGCTTGGGAGGGCCAGATGGTAACTTCAGTCATTGGTCACATAATTATGGGGATACCTTCTGGGAAATGCATCATTAAACGATTTTGTGTGAACACCAGAGCATGTACTTAAGCCTAGATAGCATGGCCTTCACCTCCTACAAGCCTGTACACCATGTTGTTACTGTACTGAATACAGTGATATTTGTGATCTAAACATGGAAAGGTGCAGTAAAAATTCGGGAGAAAAGATGCACCCACACAGGGCCCTTACCATGGCTAGAGCTTGCAGAGGAGTAGAAGTTGCTCTGAGTGAGTGGTGAGTGAATGTGAAGGCCCAGGCCATTACTGTGCACTATTGCAGACTTTACCAGTCACTTAGCTTTATAGAATTTACAAAAAATATATTTTCAATAATAAGTGAAACTTAGTTTACTATCTCATTTTACTTTTTAGACTTTTTAGTTTTTTAAGCTTTTGACTTTTGTAATACTTAGTTTAAAACACAAATACATAGCATGGCTGTACAAAAATATTTTCCTTTTTTTTTTTTTGAGACAGAGTTTCAGTATGTCACCTTGGGTAGAGTGCTGTGGTGTCACAGCTCACAGCAACCTCAAACTCTTGGGCTTAAGCGATTCTCTTACCCTCAGCCTCCCAAGTAGCTGGGACTATAGGCTCCCACCACAATGCCTGGCTATTTTTTTGTTTTTTTGGTTGTAGTTTTAATTGTTTGGCAGGCCCAGGCTGGATTTGAACCCAACAGCTCTGGTGTATGTGGCTGGTGCTCTAGCTGATGAGCTACAGGCACCAAGCCCAAACATATTTTATTTCTCATTCTATATTCATTTTTTTAAAAAAATACCTTTTTATAATTTTAAATATTTTTGCAAAAATTAACACACAAACATACATTAGCCTTGGCCTACAGTACATCCTGATTGTCAGTATCATAGTCTCACACCTCCAGATCTTGTACCCCTGGAAGGAACTTCAGGGGCAAAAGCTTGCATGAAGTTGTTGTTTCCTAAGTTAGCAATGCCTCTGGGACACTTCCTGAAGGGTATGCCTGAGGCTGTTTTGCACTTCTTTTTTTAAGTGCAGGAGTATGCTGTAAAATAGTGACAAAAAGTATGGTAAATACATGAACCACTAACATATTCATTATCATTGTCAGGGTTTAGGTACTGTACATAATTGTGTGTGCTACACTTCTATAAAACTGACAGTGTGGTAGGTCTTCTCCCCCTTCCTCCCTTAAAAATGTGAAGTTTGAGCTAGGAGTGGTGGCTCATGCCTGTAATCCCCATCTTCTATGAGGCTGAGGCAGGTGAAAGCTCAGTCTGAGCAAGAGGGAGACCCTGTCTCTACTAAAAATAGTAAAATTAGCTGGGTGTTGTGGTGGGTGCCTGTAATCATAGCTACTTGGGAGACAGAGGCAGGAGGATTGCTTTGCCCAGGAGTTTGAGGTTGCTCTGAGTTTTGTCACTGCTGCACTCTCCCCAGGGCGACAGTGAAACTCTGTCTCAAAAAAAAAAAAAAAGGCCATTAATTGCCTCATAAATTTTGCACCTCATAATGCTAACACATTGGATATTAGTTTTCAGCATGGGAATTTGGAAACTGAACCAATATTTAGACCATAGCAGGAGCCTGCATGTGGGCCTGGATCTCTGTTTTAGGTACCTGCATGCTTCGAGGATGTGGCTGTGACCAAGGGGACCACGGCTGCCATAGACATCAGGGAACACCCAGGAAAGCTCCCCAAAGAGGTTAGGAAGCTATCTTAGTTTCCCATGGCTGCTGCAACAAATTACCACCAATCTGGAGTCTTAAAACAGTGCAAATTTATTCTTTTAAAATTTTGGAGGCTAAAAGTCTGAGATCGGTATCCCTGGGTTGAAATCAAGGTGTTGGCAGAGCTGTGCTCCCTCTAGGGAATCTGTTCCTCACTTTCCGTCTTCCATTGAATGTGCCCTTTCTTGAGGCCATGTTTCCAATCTTCAAATCTCTGTCTGCCCTGACTTCTCATCACTACCTCTATGCATATCAAACTCCACCTCCCTATAGGGACACTTGTGTTTGCCTTTAGGACCAAAATGGATAATCCAAGATAATCTTCTCAGGATCCTTAATTTACTCATAACTGTAAAGTCCCTTTTTCTAAAGAAGTCACATTCACGGGTAGGGGACCAGGGGATTAGGACATAAGTATTGTGTGTGTGTGTGTGGTGGAGGGCCTTATACCCTGCAGTTCTTTCTATGAATTTCCTCTTTAGTGTTCACCTCTCTGCTTGCTCTGCTGCCTCTTTGGAGACCTGTTCTCTTGCATTGCTTCTTAATCTCTCTGCATGTATTTTGCACTTTACCACTGATTTCATGTCTACTGATTCATCTGTGCTCAGGAGTCTCCTTCATCCCACCATGCCCCATACTTCTCTAGCATTCCAGCTATTGTGGATTTCTTACAGGCTGGAAGGCTACACTTGAAAAGGACAGTTTGGATTCTGAGAAAGCTAATGCTGAGGAAGAGCCATCCTACAACATAGAAATGAATTGCTGCACTCAAGGTGAACACCCCCAGCCAGAGTCATTATTAGGACATGGTCAGAGGAACTATCTAGGGGAACCCCATGAGAACTGTGTGAAGCTGGTAATAGGCGCCTCAGAGGGGCTGTCTGCTCAAGGAGAACATCATGAGCATGAGCCTGGGGGAGGTCATCCTCTACATTTAAGCCTTCCACCTCCAACATTACCTACAGATGAACATTTTCAGAAACTCAATGCACAGAGGAAGGAGTTGAAACAAAATTCAGTTTTCATCAATCATGACAAAGCCTGGGCAGGTCTGAAGCCCTGTGAAAATCATCAGCGAGCTAGAGCCTTCTATCAGAGCATCTACTCAAGTAAACTTGAAAACATTGAGGTGGGAAACAAACACTCATGTGAATATGTTGTCAGTGGTGACTCCAACTTTGGTGCCTCTCTTTCTTTTCATGGTAGAATTTTTTCAGCAGAAAAACATGATTGTAAGGACCACAGAAACCTCTTTTGTCCCAGCATGTCCCTGTGTGAACATAAGCATGTAGATTTTGGAGGAAGTCAGTACAAGTGTGACAGGTGTGAGGAAGCCTGTTCTGAGAGCTCATTCCTAGTACAGATGGAAAAAGATGACCCCAGTGAGGTCCCCTTCAGATGTAAGGGGAGCTGTGATGCCTTCCCCGTGGCTTCATCTTTTACTAACTGTAACATCATTCAGACTAGAAAGAAGCCATATATGTGTAATCACTGTGGAAAATCTTTCAGCTGTTGTTCTAAGCTTATTGTACATCAGAGAACACATACTGGAGAAAAACCCTATGAATGTACTCAGTGTGGGAAGGCTTTCAGCCAGAGCTATGACCTTGTCATACATCAGAGGACATATACTGGAGAGAAGCCCTATGAATGCATCCAGTGTGGGAAATCCTTCACCCAGTGTTCCAAACTTATCAGGCGTCAGTGAACTCACACTGGAGAAAAACCATATAAATGCCTTGAATGTGGCAAATCCTTCAGATGAAACTCTAATCTCATTGTGCATCAGAGAATTCATACTGGAGAGAAACCTTATGTGTGCACTCAATGTGGAGAGTCCTTCAGCCAAAACTCTGACTTCATAGCAAAAAGGACTCACACTGGGGAGAAGCCCTATGAATGCAACCAGTGTGGAAAATCCTTCCCTCGAAGCACTCAGCTCATTAGGCACCTGCGAATTCACACCAGAGAGAAGCCATACAAATGCAGTCAGTGCAAGAAGGCCTTCACAGGGAACTCACACCTTGTTGAACACCAGAGAACTCATACTGGAGAGAAACCCTTTGAGTGTCATGAATGTGGGAAAGCCTTCACAAGGAGCTCACACCTTCTTTCCCATCAGAGAATTCATTCCGGGGAGAAGCCAACCAGTGTAACAATTGTGGAAAATTATTCCACCAGCAATCTCAGCTTATGGTGCATCAGCAGACGCATACTGGAGAGAAACCATATGTAGACATTGCAGAAGAGCTTTCAGCCAGAAAGCTCTTATTGTGCACCAACGGATGCATGTTGGAGAGATGCCCTACCAGTGCAGCATATGTGTCAAGGCTTTTAGTCAGCGGTCACAACTCATTGAACATCAGAGGATGCATACTGGAGAAAAGCCCTATGAATGTGCTAATTGTGGAAAAGCCTTCATTGATCAGTCAACCCTTACTAAACATGAGAGAATACATACTGGGGAGAAACCCTACAATTGTAACCATTGTGAGAAGGCTTTTAGCCAGAGGTGTCAACTTATCAGGCATCAGCGAATTCACACTGGAGAGAAACCCTATGAATGTAATGCATGTGAGAAAGCTTTCAGTCATAACATATCCTTTATTCAGCACGAGAAAGCTCATGGGCAAGAAACACTGTGAATAATTAAGGCAAGAGAGTTCCCTGTCAAACTCTCGATACTAGAAATCTAATGACCAGAGTGGGACTCTTAGAGTGGGGTCTGGGGAACATGTGCAACAGAATTGTGGAAGATGCATATTCCAGGCTATCCCAAGCCTACTAAATTAGTATTTCTAGCAATAAAACCCAGGAATCTCAAACCAGTCCACACAATCTATTTACACACTAAATGTGTCTACTGTTGCATTTAGCTGAGGATTTATGGGTATAACCACTGATGGAAAGCTTTCAGTCAGTCCTGGTAGCTGGAGTGAGGGAACTCAAGGTGGAGTCCTGTCAGCTGCTCTGACGTTTTTAGTGCAGACAACAACCCAAACTGTTTCTTTAATGTAATTTTGGCAGGCTGGAAAATATTCTACCTACAGAGCCCTAAACATTCTAACCTAGTACATGAGGAAGTTGGTGTTTAGTGATGAAATGTGAAATCAGCCATCTTCATGGTAAACCAGCAGAAATGAACACAAATTGAAGGAAGCCTGGGCCTAGGAACTGTTCTACAATGGTTGAGTATTGACATTAAAAGTAGACTGAGTATTTCAGACTCCATTGTGCTTTAACTTTGCTGCTAAGTTGATACTAACCAGAACTGGCAACAGATTAATATGGAAAATACTTAAACCAGGTGAGGTGAAAACATGACCTAAAATAATGTATACACAGAATATTATAACCACATAAAGACATGTACAAACATGGCTAGCTAAGCAGGTCTCAGCAACAGGTTCACTGAGAGAAGGAGGCGTAAATCAGCAGGGGCAGGGGTGTGGCTGCACATTTAATCAAGGCAGGACAGGGAGTTGGTGAGACAGTGGAGTCCCAGCAGAGCTGTAGACTGACAGCTAAGGCAGGAAAGGAGCGTTTTTTTCTCTGAAACTTGGACTCCTCTCCTTTTTTTTCTTACCTATCATTAAGTGTCTGGCTATAGGTAAGCAAAAAATAAAGGAGGGAAGGATTCATGTGCTAAAAATTAGTCCACGGACTAGGGAATCTGGCATGCTTGCTCTGGAGCAAGGGCCGCTCTTTTTTGTCATTTCAGCACCTTTGTCCTAATAGCTGGTTCTTGCCCTTGTGACCCCAAAGCAATGCAGCCTGTTGAGCTGGCCTCACCCATCTGTGGAGCATTCCTACCTGCTGTGTGGTGGCCTCTTGAATATGAGAGGGAGGCAGGGGCAGAAAACAAAAAGAGCCTCCAATGTGAATGAAAGAATCTAAGAAAACAGGAAAACCAACCCCAAGGAAAATATTATGAAGAACCAAATACATAAAATGTTTTCTTATCCTAAGAGTGAATGAAGAATTACAAATGAAAATAACACGAAGATCTGGGATGGAGAGAAATCTATGAGAACGAGAACACACTCTTGGTTGTAGTTTTTGAGACAAGAGTCTCACTCTGTCGCCTTGGGTGGAGTGCAGTGGCATCAGCCTAGTTTACAGCAGTCTCAAGCTCTTGGGCTTAAGCATCCTTCTGCCTCCACCTCCTGAGTAGCTAGGACTAACTGTACCAGCCACAATGCCCAGCTAGTTTTCCTATTTTTAGTAGAGATAGGACTCTTGCTCAGGCTGGGCTTGCAACTCCTGAGCTCAAGCAATCCTCCTGCCTTGGCCTCCCAGAATGCTGGGATTACAGACTGAGCCACTGTACCTGGCCTAGAGATAGGCTTTTAAATCTGATGTGTAAAGTTACTTAGGAAACCAGAACTAACGCTCAAAATGGTAATATGACAAAAATTGGAAGTGAATGGAGGAGTACCAGCGAGAGTCAAATTCTTATCTCTCGGATCAGAAAGTCAGTAAAGTCAAAAGTGATCAAAGAGGCTTGGTGTCTGTAGCTCAGTGAATAGAGCGCTGGCCACATACATCACAGCTGGTGGATTTGAACCCAGCCTGTACAAGCTAAACAATAATGACAACTACAACCAAAATAATTGCTGGGTGTTGTAGCAGGCACCTGTAGTCCCAGGTACTCGAGAGGCTGAGGCAAGAGAATTGCTTAATCCCAAGAGTTTGAGGTTGCTGTGATGACGCCATGGCACTCTACCAAGGGCGACATAGTGAGACTCTCTCCAACAACAACAAAAAAATGTGATCAAAGATCCATGTTTCAGATGCAGCCTTGGGAACTGGGACTGGTGGTGGCTGGCTCAGCAGGTGGGGCAGAGGGTGAGCACTTTCCATGTAAACCTGTGGCACATTCTTATGTCCAGGTCTCTTTTATCCAGCTAGAACTTGTATTTATTTTAGATATTAGCATCTTGATCATGGTGCATGAAGGCATCATGGGTGGAGTGGTCCTTACCCAAGGCAGCTCAGATTCTTTAATGTGCACTGTCTTTCCCTAGGGTATGGGCTGTGGAAGCTGGTGGTTTTCTTTGGGTATTAGCTCTAGTATTGTAGCTCTTCAGATCGGACACTAAGGGTGAATGAATTCTGCCAATTGGCTATCAGAGAGGTCTGCACATTTCCTGCCATCCTGAGAATTATACCATTCACATCAATTGCGCTAGGAAGTCTAGCCAGCAGGGGAGCTCCTAGGTACTTTGGCCCTCACTCCACTTTCTGCTTTAATGGTCAGGTCTCGGCTGGATCCTGCTTTCTTCCGCCTACCTTTCTGGTCCTCACTCCCTCACAGCCCAGTCCACTGTGTTCTTTTTGACTGTCAGGCTCTTCTTAGAGCAAAAATCTGGGAACCTCCCCTCCCTCAAGGACTGTTGCCATCTCAGCAGCTGGTGTTTATGTGTCACTCACTGCCCCAAGCAGCTGAGGTGTATGGGTGTGGAGCACTGTTGGGTGGTAATTTCTCACAGAGAGAGAAAGACGGCTTGGCCATGGGTGCAAGCTCGCTCCTGGAATTGTATGAAAGCAAGAAACGACTACACACTTTTGGGTGGCATGTAGCAAATCATCTTTATTTGCAACTCCCTTTTATAGGGAGGTAGTCACGTACACCACATTAATCAATAATCTTAATATTCTCTATTCTTATCTTAGACTATAGAAAAGACAGAAAGTCCAGGAAAGTAAGATAACCATCTTTTTTTTTTTTTTTT